ATTTACGTGGTAACATAGTTCACGTAGATGTTGTAAGGTGGTAACATAGTTCACGTAGATGTTGTAACGTGGTAACATAGTTCACGTATATGTTGTGACGTGGTAACAAAGTTCACGAAAAGGTGTGACGTGGTAACGCAGTTCACGTTACGAGTGTATTGACTTGACATGTTAACTTGGCCATGTCAACCAGACTTTACTCTCACAGTATATTATACACCCGATATGGTAACAGTGCCATGTCGTCAGTACATCTAACGTAAGTCAACAAGAGCCTACTATACATGAACACACTGAAATGTGATGTAAAATACTCACAAAAACTACAAACTTTTACTAATGGTTCATGGTACAAAAATCATGATGGTAATGCAAACAATCTATTTCTATGACGATATCATAGAACACCCCGATAGAAATGCTGTGCACACAGTGAGTCCTGCATCGTCAGAGATTGAAGACGGTCATGACATCGAGGTGAACGTGGACGTCCACCAGTCAGGAGAGGCCGTATTAGAGGCGACTTCCTCTTAAGTCAAAGTCGATGGGCGGAGCCATTGATGACGAGCACTCACGTGGACTCGTGACGTCATCTGGAGGGGCAACTCGTCATCTGGAGGGGCAACCGACCGACCAGCGGGGACATCACGCCACCTCGGATCACTTTTTTTTTGCTAGCAGCGCGCGCAGCGTTCACTTGTCTTAGATTTAATATTCTGTGTCGATCGTTCCTACCCACTTTTGTATTTTTTTTTTATTTATTTAAATTATTAAGCCGTTGCTAAAAATATATATATATCAAACTCCATACAACTATGGTACTAGTGCGAGCGGGAAGGCGTCGTGGCAATGAGAACTAGTCTGACTTTAATCAGTTTTATTTGGTGTAACGAGAATATAATAATATTTGTATGCGCGTGCGAGCAGAGCTGCGTGGGTTCTGTGCTGGGTATTGTGCTGAGAGTGCCGACGTGACAAAGTCACGATTATTTTTGAACGTTACTTTCGAGTCACCAGAACGACAGTCACGGTAACTGAAAAGTAACGACTTTGCACATGTCTACAGCTCTGGTGGGATAACAGGTATTATCATTGTAGGGATCTGTATCCTGTACAGACGATGCTGGTCGAGTGTAAAAAAATGGTTCACGAAGCAGATTACGGATATCCAGAACCGAGTGCAGAGCGCTAACATGAGGTTGAGCTTTCGGCGACCCCGAGAACCAGACAGCAATACAAAACCAGCCCATTAAGTTGGAAATTGTGTGCTACAAATGACTAGATGTTTAAAAAAGTTTTTACATAGAATTACTTTTAATTTGTATTCTGTATTTCTTATTTTTTGTTAATCAATGGATAAAGTTTACTAAGTTAAGATTTTTATATTTTTACACTATTTTTCACCTTTCCTTATATTTTTTTACATTTTACACTTATTTTTTTGTAATAAAAAATTTCATTTTATGTCTTATTTTTAAGGGGGGAATGATGTAGCGGGCGCTTAGCTTAGTACTGTCTGTATCGAGTCGTAGCACAATAAACAAGTTGCAAACTGTCGAGTCTTGTTAATAATTATCACCCTACATAATAGCACATACGCTCTCTATATACAAGCACAGACCGTACAATAGTACCTTTTTTTTTTTTTTTTTCGGGCCGATGGCCGAACCTCCTACCAGGTCCCCGCGCCTAGGGGGCGCGCGGGGTATGTGAGACTTAACGATCTGCAGGTGTTGAGAGCAGATCGCGGGCCCAAGGATTTTAGGGCCTACCCACTAAACGACTCCCCTGCACTCTTACACCCGACGTCCAATCTCCGTCCGGGGTCAGAACCCGGATGAGGTAGGGGGGCTACCGCGGTCAACACTACAACCAGACGGCGCGGCTCACCCCAAGGTCGCCCAGCCGACGGAGCCTTTGAGGCGAATCGAAGGCTCTGAAACGTCGGCCGTCTCGGTACGGCAGCCCGTCGGGCCGCCCAGACGGTGCCGCTGGTGTCCTGGAATACCCCGCTGGACCGGGTGTAAGAAAAAAAAAAAAAAAAAAAGGGGGGTTCCCGCGGTCAACACTACAACCAGACACGCGGCGCCACCCCGAGGACGCGCGACCGACGGGTCGTCGATGCGATTTTTCCGCAAGGATTTCCGGCGGACAACTGTTTAACAGTTTAAAATATAACTGTTTTAAAGTTGCAATCTTACCGAGTATTACTCATCTGATAGATATATATGTTTATATGTATATTTTGGTGTATATATGTAAGCTTGTAGACTCTATGTTGTGTACGTGGCCATAGAGTAAGATTATATTATATAAGAATGACATTGGCACTTGGCGACCTGCCCCCTTTTTAGTTTGAGAGCTATCTCCTAAAGAGGTGTACCCGCAGCAATGCAAAATATAAGTGAACCCACTAATAGCGAAGCGAAGCCGACGCGCCGTCGTGGACGCAGGAACAAACAACCAGCGTCTGAAGCGCCAGCGCCAGCTCCAGCACCAGCCCCAGAGACGTCGAAGAACGTAGTTGAACGCCCACCACCCAAGATCATGTCATCAATTCCGCAGCCAAAGAAAATTTCAACGCAAGCATCAGAATTGACCAATGATATCTTATGGAAGGAGGGCCTCGTTCTTGATGGCGAGGTAGTTCTTGTGAACTCGCGCCCCATCCAGGAGTTTTTCTCGGACGCAGCAGGTTTTGAATCGTTATTGGAGGAGGAGTATAAAGCGATTTCCGATGTAGACAAAGCTTTCGTTAAAGCCATTCCCCAATCAGTTTACAAGCATTTTCACCATGTGCTGTACTGGTATAGATTATCAATGCAAGCTGTGGCAAACGGAACTTCATCCCGTGAGCAGGAGCAACGAATCAACGTTGTTAACTCCCATGACGTTAGTGTCCCCTCAGGTGCCGCCGCGTATCTCGCTGGCCTCGGTGACTTTGAGGACGTGACCGGCGTCCGCCACCGTATGACAACGACTGAGCCGAATTGATCATGGTCACTTCGGTAGGGCAACAGCGCAGACTCACAATGATTACGAGACGCTTCCTGCCCCCGCTATATCACTCCAACGCGTGTTAGAAGATCTTCACTACACGCTAGATCGCAATCGCGACCCCATTTGGGATAACGCAGCGATCACACCGAAAGGCGGAGCCCCCGACGCTGTCCCCCTCGTATGGGATGAGACCGTCGATGGCGACCTGCCCGTTGAAGATGAGGATGATGATGTGGCCGCAGCTACTCAGCCGCCCGCGCCTGCTCAACCCCTTCGACGCAGGAACCGCCCCACAGTGAATTTATTAGGATGGCGTCCAGCGCGAACCCTTGACAAGAACCAGCTTTCCGAGATCCCTGACGACGTAACACATACACGTCGAACCATCCCCCGTTATGGCTATAATCCCGAGCTATTTGAGTTAGCACTCCGCAGGATAAAGGAGGTGAAACGCTATAAGCTAGTCCCTCTTCCCGTCAACCGCGGCGGATCAGTAGCGCAACAGCTAATCTGGGATCCTGAGCAAGAACATCTCGGATATCTAGACAGGCAGTCCGCATCTCAGGGAGCGATTTCATCGCACACCAAGATCCACGCACGTATTGCCACTATCGCCAAGGTGCTATGTTACCGTTCAATACGAAGAAACGTAGCAGTGGGAGAAGCTGACACCGCTCCTTGGGCATCTATGTTGTGTACGTGGCCATAGAGTAAGATTATACCTAGTCAGGTCATAAATTCTGTCACATGTTTAATGTAAAATAATTGAAACAAGTTTATTCATTATGTAACCATTCATATACCAAAATGAACTTAACAAAACATAGATTCTTATGACACTAAAGTTTATTCAAAATGACCTCCGTGATTTTGAATACAGGCCTTCAATCTGCGCGGCCAGTCGTCTATCGTAGCACGAACGAGGTCCATGTCAATATCGGCGGCTGCCTTAATCAAGGATGTCTTGAGTGACTCCAAATTGGGATGAGGCTTTGAGCACGCCTTTTCCTCCAAGTGTTGCCATATCTTGTAATCTAACGGATTCAAATCTGGACTGGAGGAGGGCCAGTCTTCGTGCCGGATGAAGTCGATTTCACGCGCCGCCAGCCAGTCTTGTGTGCTCTTCGCTCTATGAGCTGGCGCCGAATCTTGTTGGAATACCCAGTGCCTGTTATTGAACATGGTATGAGAAACAGGTTCCACAAGGTTCGTCAGGACTGTATTTTGATACACAACTGCATTCGTTTTTACACCTTTCTCACAAAAATGTACCTCTGTTAAGCCCCAATAAGAAACTCCCAACCATACCATGAGCGAGGATGGAAAATGACCTCGTTGGACACGCGGAATACGGTTGCTCGCTTCTTCACTACTGTGTGCGTACACCTTATCATTTTGTTTGTTGTAGCTCTCTTCTACGGTAAAAATTTTTTCATCCGAAAAAAGAATTTCCCGATATTTTTTTCCCGCGTACCGCTTCAACAAAGCGCGGCATCTCTTCAGTCTCAGGTCCATTAGACGAGCATTCAAACGATGTCCTGTTTTTCTTCGATATGCCCGAAGCCCTAAGTCTTCATTTAACACCCTTTTCACTGTGGTTCTGCTTAACCCCATCTGAAGGGCCAACAGTTTCTGCTTACGTTTGGGATTTCTTTGAATTCGCGCCTTCACAGCTTTTATCACTGCTGGAGTCCTAACAGACCGAGGGCGACCACTTCTTGACCTGTCATCTACACTAGGGTCTTCATTGTATCGTTTGATGGTACGATAAACGAATCTTTTGGTTATATTCAAATTTTTCACTATGTTAAAAATTTGAATTGGCGCGTAACCGCAACGATGCAACGCAATAACTGCAACACGGTCTTCTTTAAGCGTCCACTCCATATTTAAAAATGAGTGAAAATTCTAAAAGTATACATTTTTAATTTCATGAACAATTCGAAATTCGAATTCAATAAACTTTTTTGTGGCCAGCATTCTAAAAGAAAAGTTTTTACTGTGTGACAATACTTATAACCTGACTAGTTATATAAGAATGACATTGGCACTAACTTTGAAATAATATACAACCCAGGTAGAAATAATACAGAAGCGGACAGCTTAAGCAGAAATCCTGTGTTTGAAAGCCACGAAAACGAAGAAGATAACTTGAAAACAGTAAATATTGTAAGGATTGAGGAAATATTGGAGGACCAGAACAAAAATCTAAACATACAGAACAAACATAGTTTTACTAGAGAAAATGGTATACCAATTACTAACATTTAAGCTTCTATTTGATTCTAGTTTCGGAAAATTTCTGGTAATTTTCATCGGTCGGATCCAGCATGACAAAAATTTGAAGAGGCTCAAAAGGCGCTAAATTGTAATCCTTTGCAGTTAGTTCAAATGGTGGTCACTAGGTGGAACTCAGAGTAAGAGATGTTAGAAAGGATGCAAAGATTTCAAAAACCATTGTCTCACGTTCTTGCTGATTCTACCGACACTGAGTCTATATCTGGTACTGAATGGTCTAAAGTCGATTGCTTACTGAAAGTTATGAAGCCGTTATATGATGCTACGCAAATATCATGTGGAGTTAAATATCTTACTTTGTCAATGGTAAAACCCTTACTGTTTGGGATAATAAACGGTCTGAATAGTATCGAATTTGACTACGACGATTCATCGGAAAGGGGACAAGAATTTACAGATAATATTTTGAATGGTCTAGAAGTCAGATTTTGTGAAGTTGATCGTGATATTATTTTTAAGAAGAGTACTTATCTGGATCCCCGATACGAAAATTATTTTTATAAAGAAGAAGAAGTTAAACAAATAGAAGAAGATATTAAGCTCGAAATCGTGCGATTCCTGATGCCGGGTGATGATTCTCAAGAACTTAATGTTTTGACCAGAGAACGTAAGATTTTACAATAAGTAACTCATTTTTTAAGCTTCCTTTTTTGATACAATATTGTGTATTTTTATACTGTTTTTTTTTTACATATGTCATTGATTTAAAATTTCGTAGAATCAAATTGGGAAATTATTTACTTTAAAATTCGTGATCGATATCAAAATAATTTAGCATTTGTACCTTTTTTTAGCCAAAAATACTTTACTATACAAATAGAAGAAATCAATTGGTTTTGTGTTGTATTTTGCTGTTTTCTTTGAATGCGTCATGATAAATTAATTTTTTTACTTGCTAAATCTAACTTAAAATTAATCAGAAAATTAACATTCAACTTCATCATAAAATAATGTTCTGAAATATACAGTGATTTATTTATTTTAAATTTCAGCAAGTGGAAATCAGTATACTGGATTTTGGAGTTTCATGAAAAAACCAACAGTTAACGCCCGAGAAAAAAACCTAGAGACTCTGCGTAATGAAATATCGCAGGAAATAGTGGTGTATTTGAACTGTGGTTTAATAAGTCCTCAACAAGATCCACTTGTGGCATCTACCTACCCACCTACACACACAAACACACAATAGCACACTTACTATATACATTGTCATTTATATAATATATACATATAATAAATACATTTAACAATAACACGTACACATTTATACTACAACCATAATATTAGTATATTTACATATTTATTAGAATTACACCGACACCAGACNGGTTTAATAAGTCCTCAACAAGATCCACTTGTGGCATCTACCTACCCACCTACACACACAAACACACAATAGCACACTTACTATATACATTGTCATTTATATAATATATACATATAATAAATACATTTAACAATAACACGTACACATTTATACTACAACCATAATATTAGTATATTTACATATTTATTAGAATTACACCGACACCAGACGATAAAATAACGGCAATAGAATGTGCAACGAAAACGCACATTCCAACGGTATTTGCAGTGGAGTGTGCGGGGAGACAACCCCACTCCGGCGCATTGTCCCAACCGACAGCGATTCTCTCGACTTCACGCAGATCGCATGTCGCCGATCGATAACCTACTGATTCCGTAATTCTTTGTTTCCTGATGTTTTATTTAAATTCAGTTTCCACCTTACTATTTAATCTCACTATTTAATTCTATGGACTAATTCTTCGTCTGTGCTGTGCTACCTGTTTGTGCGTGTTCAACTTATTGTACCTGTGTAAATAAATAATAAACCTGGACCTATAGTGATTGATTTCATTGACTTTGTGGTGCAATTTAATTTCATAAAAACTAAATAACGTAAACACTCATTTGGTGGCGATAAGAAAAAAATAAATATCCCCGATTATCAGTAATGGCGAGACGATATTTAGGAATACCTTGTACTTCGGCTGAAAGTGAAAGATTATGTTCCACTGCTGGCGATATTGTATCTGATAAAAGAACTTCATTATCACCAGATTCAGTATCGTATTTATTATTTTTGAACAAAAATTTGTAGCACATTTTCAAATCTTGGATTTTTCATAATACTGTATTTGCTATGATATAATTTCTATTATTTCATTCTTTAAAAAAAAACTTTATTATTTGTTCTATTTGTGTAACTATATTTGATGGTATGAATAAAATGTATATTGACTGTTAAATTTATATTTGAAAATTGAAAATAACAAAACCCTGAAACATTCGAATTATTCAAAAATTTCGGATTATTCGAAACTTTATTATTTTGAATTTTGATATAATATATAGAATAATTAATTCGATAATTCGAATTTTCGAATATATTCGATTCGGAACGAATAATTCGTAAGTTCGAATTATTCGCACACCCCTACCTATTATCCAAAAAAATAAGGTTAAGAAATAAAATAAACCGGGCTCTTTTAGACGAAATAAATATCACAATGTACGGTAAACCTTATGGGCGATATGGTTACTCTACTCAACCAAACCATAATAATTTTAATAACAAATAGACTACTTACATATAATTATAATAGAAAAGATTGTCTGATTATAATAATTCATAATTATTGAAATGAACATAAAAGATTGATTAAAAAGTAACAAGAAGTTGTTTTTTTGTTTAAATTATCCAAAAAATTAATATCGTACCTTAATATATTCTTTTAATACCTCCACAATCGCGTCCCTTACTTCTTTTACTATAAACCCAATATGTTGCCTCGAAATCTTGAAAACATAGTATAGGAATCTAGTATAGTAAGCTAGAATAGGAATCTCCAGTAGCGTAGAAACGAAGTGTAACGGCTTAACTTTCCGTGACAGTTATTGCTTTTCTGTAGTTTGTATCTAGTTGTCCTACTTTTGGTGCTATCAAACACACGAGTCGTTCAAAATCGATTGGAGACATACGCACAAAGTCTTTATAATGTGTTCAGTAAACATTTCATTCTTCAGTGTTTCCATTAACGATGAGCCACCCGTTATATTTATGTTTTTGTACAAGTCTTTTTTTTTTGTTCATCTGGAGTAAAGAATAATTTAGTAAAATCACAGATCCCAGAAACACGTCTTCGTTATCCGACATTTTGATCACCAAAAGTCGGAGCAAACTGCTCGCTACGAGCTGGGGGAACGGGTCAGTAATGCCGTAACGTAACACGCTCCCCTCGAATGTACGTTCGGCCAAATGTTTATTTGCCAGTGTCAACTACCAGTTGACTTGGACTTTGTACTACAAATGTTCATGTCAACTACCAGTTGACACGGGACGTTTGCAGTAGTTCGCACCGCCGCCCCTCTGTTTTATTGAAATTTGCCTGTCTCTGTTTCTCTAAGGTCTATTTGTATTTAACTGTCTAGCTTCTCAGTTAAATTATCTACCAAACTACGCAAAAACCGTTATTCCTTGCCGCGCCATATAAAAGGAAACAGATTTTGAAATTTTTAGTCAGTGTCGAATCGCGGGAGTGAGTGGTCGTGTCTGTGTTTCGATAATTTTAATACTTTTAGTGAGTGTATTTACGTGGTGTATTTATAAGGTAAGTTATCTACTAATACATAGAAATAAAGGTTTCAGCATGACACAAAATTTAGCCTTTTTTAAACCGATACATTTGGTGGTACATTTTGGCGTTAGTGACGCCATAATTTTACTCTCATTTTTTGTTATTTTTTGCCTGTTTTATCATACTAAATGTACTACTAACTAACTTTTAGGAATTTTGAATTTCAAATTTGAAGTGTACGTTGGTGCAGTTTAAGGGCTGGGGCACTCTGAGATATCTTATTTTCGAACCGACTTTTTTTGTACGCGTTTTTAAATGTTACGTTTGGCAATGAAAACTGCGTATGAGTGTATTTTTTTGTTGGTTTTATATAAATCGTTTTTTTTTTACTTCTTATTTTTGCCTTCCCGTCCGTGACTGAGCGTATTTTGATCACGCACTCAGTGTACCATGCCCTTTACACCCGCCAGATGGTGACCCTTTTTTTTGTTTTCGTTTTGAATACGTTGAACAATGCGATCCAATGTACAAGTGTTATACCTTTTTGGAAAAGGCTTTAAAAGTACAATGTTGTATAGTAATTGTTTATTTTTTGTTGTATGGTGTGTAGAACAAAAAAATCTGTAAAACGAAAGAGAGTTCACTGTGTGAATGCGAACTGTTGCACTATTTTTTTTTTTCTCAGTAATGGTACTATGATTTTTGTTTATTTACTGAGAATATTAGTCTAGTTATGTTGATTATTTTTATTGTAGGTCTAACTGTTGTATTTGCGTATCTGTGACACGTAAAGTTTATCTAGAATTACGGCTCGCGCCGCCAGATTTTTATGAAAAGTTAAAGGGCTGTAAATAAATTATTTTGTATGGAAAGGTGTATCGCTTCATTTTTTGAGATATTATTATTTAAACACAAGCCGTGCTCAAAAACGCGCTTCTCTCTGTTCAGCGTATCGTAATTATACACCGTAGTTGAATAATAATAAACAAAACACTTCACTGTAAAGCATAATTCATACTAAGCTTTAAAAACACAACACTTCTAGTGTTACAATAACAACTTGAGGATAATTAACGGTTTTGTGATAAAGGAGCCGCGCGGCGCAGTTAAAAAAACGGTCGGCCACTTAACAAAAAACATTGGGGCGCTTGAGGGTGAAGGTCAAAGAGCCCATTAAGCAAATGAGCGGCTAGTAAAACAAATGGACCCCCTTTGAAAGTCTGCGATTTTTAGAACCAGTGCCACCAGAGAGAACAAGAAGTTCAAACTTTCAGACTTGTGAAGAGTCATCCCCTCTTGAAAGAGAATCAACAAGTACACTGAAAATGAGTGGAAAAGTAACAAGTGAAGGGCAAACAAGCAGTGATGGGACTAGTAGACAGGCATTCAATAAAGAAGATATAAGTGGAGGGTCACCAAACAATGCACGTAAAGTCGAAAACGTAAAAAAAGCGTTGCATATCAGTCATTAATACAATATTGGAAACAGAGAGATCAAAAGTGGCAGGAAAAAATGAAGGCCCTCACAACTAAAAAAAAAGACATTGATGGCATAAATTCTTTGTGCGCCCATATTGGATCCATTCTAAAAAAATTAGCTTCAATCTTAAAGGTGGAAGCCAAAACCAAGATTTTCAACATTATGGCAGAGAACAAAATGCATGTTCTTCAATATAAACAATCTATCAGCTCGTATTCAATATCAAGCACGCCTAACCATACAGATTCTTATCAAACTATAACAAGTTCAGCATCCTCACGACCTGGAAGTTCAGCCACATACATATTCTCCTACTAGTGTAGCCTCACCTTATGGACCGACTGATTTAAGTGTCTCAGTAGAACGAGCTGAAATAAATGATAATTGTATTCAAAAGGAATCTTCTATGGAATTTGATAATTATTTTCTTACCTCAATGTAAGGAAAAAAGTTGTGCTCGGCGGTGATTTATTCTTGATTTGATTTGATTCTTTTTGCGTTGATATCTTGTTGGATTAAATAATCTACAACATTTCCTGAATTTTTCTTCTTTATAATTTAAATGGCGTTTTATCAGTGATTAAAAACAATCTTCATCTTGTCGTGATGTGTAGATAGAGTCGATTTTCATTCTTGTTTTGTTTGTGTTTGGCCATTCGATTCGGATTTCATTTTGTAAGATGATTTAGAGAAACAGCACTTGATGATCAGCACTTTGTATACTATTTTATCACACAAATGAAGACATTAGGGTTTCATTTATTTAATATTATAGTATTATGATCAATTATTGTTTTTAAAGAGCAAGAAAAACCAGACTGAGAGTTCTGCAAGATATTCAAACTTAACACGTTCTCTGCCAACGCGGTCAGTGCTGACCGTCAACGAAGTTTCCCTGTAGGCCTATTAAAAATCATAAAACTGTTTAAAATTTATTAAATTATTTTTTGGCTTATATGGTTTTATCTTTTACTCAAATGTTACTTGGTTATAACAAAAGTCAATTTGAGCCATTATTTATGGAAATAATTAACGTCAGGCAGCATTGACCGACGCGGCCTACAGAGAGAAAAATATGGTTTTCCGTTGCAGGGGGCCGCGCGTATCGCGGTGTCGGGCAGCCCTTCGCGCTCCCCCGCGTTCATTTGCGCTTGCAGTTGCCGTGCTTATCTTGAGTTGGGCGC